CTGTGGTTTATGTATATAACTAGGGCTTGTGGTACCTACGCATATGGTCGTATCTGTTCACATTGTTGTACAATATGGGAAAGTACACTAAACCAAATTTGATCTTTTATCGACATTCGAAGTATATTATATCACTCATTTCATGTTGATAACTCGAGCAGTTTTAGGAAACAAAACAATTAGTGTATTTAACGAGCCATGACGAGTGGCAACTGGGACAAACAGACCTATATTAACATGTAACAACTGTGCCCGACTTTGGAAAGCATCAAACTATACAACCATCATAGCAACTAGACAGCGCAAGACTAACTGGCTAGCCTCAAACTAGATGCAGATTTACGGTTCTAAAAATAATAACTTCTCTAAAAACCATTGTTGCGATAAAATTAACAAGTTCCTAAAAATATTTGACCTCTTAACTGGCAGTAACAGAATATGCCGAACTATCACATTTACACGCTTTTGGAATTAGTAACGATAGTTGAACATGTTATGATGATCGTAAAAAATGTAAGCAGAAATAACCACACACTAAACTTTGGAAACGGAAGCATTAATCTACGTTGTACAAACAAGTTGAGTGGATACGGGTAGCAGTGTGCAGATACTGTACTCCAAGCGAGTTCATTGTCTTTTTAACGATACAAACATGTTCCGCTATCCTTCATAAGCATACAATGTATAAAGTATGTAAAAGAGGCCTATTATACACAAAATAACTCTATTATGCTAAAACATTGTGTAGTGTAATTTGTTAAATATGAGGTAAAACATTTTGAAACTATATTAAGTAAGTTATAAAAACTGTCGATTGAAAACTGCAGCGGAAATATTTAGGCTACAAATTGCTTTTTTATAACGAAAGAAATAAAACGAGATACAAATCGATAAATTCGTTTTTAACTTTTTAACACTTATTTATATGCATCTCTATAATAATTGTTGGGGTAATTCAATGTTTTATTTGAATTAATTTTTTGTTATAGATTTCACCACATCAAAGTATCTTCGCGATTGAAAATGTTTGCCATTGATGGGCCTAGCATACGTCACCGAATAACATAATGCATGTCCCTGTAAATAGTTACGTTTTGAACGCTATAGTCGAAACAAGATCTTGTAATTAAATAATAGAAGAATAGTAACCAATCTCAATAAGTAAATAATCAATGTTATGCTTTTGTTTATTGAACTGAAATCCGATATAAAAATGAAAACAGCGTCAAGAGAGTTTGTTTTTATTGGATCTTGACCTTGCTCAGTATATGGCCACTTGAAATTGAGGCCAAATAATTTTAACTTCTAGTTTCTCGTCCCCACCCTTACCAAATTTTTGAGCCTTATGAAAAAAAATTACTATTTGCTATTAAAAAAACAAAAACAACCATTTTCCCATGAAAAATAAAAATAATGATGATCTGAAAGATTGTTGTCGAACTCGAAGAGGTGGAAACATAAATGACAGAATATCATATAAAGATTCATTTTACTTCATTTTATATTTAAAAAAACACCCCAATTTGTATCTACCAGCCTGTTTACCATTAGTATATAGTATAGTTAATAACAAATAGTAAACACCCTTACCAAAAATAATTTCAAGTCCCGGACGTGAAGCTTAGGCCTACAATTAATTTTATTTGGCCTAAATTAATACAACATGTTGGCCTACCATCTGAGAAATGCTTAAAAACGTATTTAGTTACTCAATTATTATTGAAAAATTGTAATAATTAAATATTTTCCTTATAAATTACCATAACGTACGGCACTGTATATATAGTTCAATATTCTTTTGCATATAGACCCTCGGCTTGTAATCGATTTAATCATTTTTGCAGTATAAAGCCTGCAAGAGTGTGAAAACATATTTGGTGTTTTACTGGAAATAACCAATTTTATTCATTTTAAACAACTGTTAATTGAATTGTTAATGTTTTGGCATACTTAATGATAGAAAAATATCAATGATGCAAGTTAAATGAACTATTATTATGCGACTTTCTACATATAAAACTGAATATCTCAATTATTAAACATCAAAACGCAAGGTTGGCGTATACAATTACCATGTCTATGTAAAATCCATTAGCACAAATTTGAGTTCACTATTAGTATTATTCGTTCGAAAACCGAGGTAGGCCTAATAAATAATGAGTTTAAAGTGGATTTAAGTGGATAACATTATCATTTAATTCATATTCATGCGGTGCTCATTTCGTTGAAATGTCAAATTCATTCATTAATATCCCGCCAAGTTCTATGCGTTCAATTAAGCACTATCTTGTTTAAAGCATAATGATTTCCGTAAACTAACTACACTAACTATAGTTAGTAAGTAAGTAAGTAAGTAACTAACTAACTAACTAACTAACTAACTAACTAACTAACCAACCAACCTACCTAATGTCAAATTCATTCATTAATACCCGAAAAGTTCTATGCATTCACTTAAGCACTATCGTGTTTTAAGCATAATGATTTCCGTAAACTAACTACACTAACTATAGTTAGTAACTAACTAACTAACTAACTAACTAACTAACTAACTAACTAACTAACTAACTAACTAACTAACTAACCAACCAACCAACCTACCTAATGTCAAATTCATTCATTAATACCCGACAAGTTCTATGCATTCACTTAAGCACTATCGTGTTTTAAGCATAATGATTACCGTAAACTGGCTAACCAACCAACCAACCAACCGTTTTAATTTTAACTTAGTAAAACAAACTTCACTGCTTTCAATTAACCTCTACAGTATCATATTTTAACTGTCATTGAAAAAAAAATTAACGTAAATTATTAAATTCACTATAAATATATTTCAAATTGTCTCCATGTGTGTCTTCCTGCGTTCCTAGATATGATTAAGTCTTCCTTAATATGTATCCAATCCGCTAAGGGATTTCATTACAGTACATTCAAATATTATCTTGTTCGAAATGTTATTCTTCATTCGAATTCACTGTATAAATTATTCAGTTGTATATATTTTAATCGTCGTATTTAACTGTATAATTTAAATGTAACACAAAACGTATTGAATGTATTTGTTATAAAATTCGTTCAATACTGTACATGAACCGTGTTCTGTATGTTATCTCCTTTCAAATTCTAAAATTTACACACAATTATAAAAAGAATTATAGGACTTCTATATAAAAAATATTCAAATATGAATGTATTGCCCTATATTATTTTTATCATGAATAGCACCAACAACGTTATGAATACTACCGACAGCCATGGCCACATCAACATCTCACCCTCATAATTACAACTTTATAATCATCGATATATTAACCTTGAATTACACAACATTTCGTTCATTCTTGGATCTGACATTATTTTTTTAATTTTGTCAAATATGAATTATTCGCCATATTGTATTTTCTCCGGATAATTATTGAATGTAAAAAATCCTTTACATGAATTAATGAGAACTCGCGGTGCGATCGTCTTTATTTCAGAAAGAATGGAATAATTAGGTTATTTCACCACTAACTATATCGTCTACCTCGAGTCACTATTCGATAATCATTATGTATGTGATAATTTTTGTTATGCAAATTGTATAATACTATCTACTGGAGCAAGCTAATTATTCAGTATACGATTACTTTCCAGAAACGAGTGGATAGCATGCGAAAAGTATATTCTCAGCAACTTAGAAGAAAAATCTGTATCGTTTACAAGAAACAGAATTTTAAACTAAAATGGAAACAAATCGGCAGTCATAAAGAAAAAAAA